GTATCAATACACTATTATTATAAATTTATTAATGTAATAGTATTCTTTTTACGTTTTTTCTTTATAAAAGACAACGAAACCTAAAATTATGTTATCTGATTGAAATAAAATTGCCTTTTTCAATGTTAATAAATATTTCGTAAAACTTGAGCTGTGTACCTAGTAGTGTTTTTTTATATAAATTTCATGTCGTTAAAAAATGAATTTTCGAAATTATAAATAACTTAATTAAAGATTTTTTGTTAATGTAGGTACCTATGTAAAAGTATAATACTTTTACAAAATGAATTTAAAATTGAATGTAACAATCTATATGTGAGGTACAAACTATTGGGAAAGTTAAATTCATTTTATTTATAATATCATTTTAATGCATGGTTAAAACTAGGTACCATTATACAACGTAATCGAAAAAACGTTCCCATGAACATACTTAGAAATTAAAACAAAGGTGTCACAAACCGCTTACGCGGCTGAGATTGTAAGTTGTATTTGATTCCTGCGGTTATGTTAATGATTATGATTATGTTGCACTAGGACCGTCGTGTGACAAAACGTGTAATATTAAACGACTATCATTTTTTGCCAACTAACGGTCTATATGTAATGCAAAGAAAAGATTCGTTTGACCAGAGTTAGATACTACATACATAATTAGTAACATCCTACAAATTTTGCAAATCGATCTGACAAGTGTTGCGACATAAACAATTAATAAAAATATATGTGCCAATGGTTATAACCGATTTATAGGATATTCCACTTTTCATAGAGTTTATTTAGATTTAGTAGGGCCCTAATGTAAGAATAGTTTCAATAATGTTTATATACTCACACTACAGTGTGATTTAAATAAATATGCTGAAGTTTATCCACTTAATTATGTTAAGTGGAATTTTTTTAAGTAAGGATACTATTTCAATGGCATTAGCTTCTTTTAAATTTGTTAAGATTTAAAATGAATAATATAGTTTAAGTTTAAGAATATAAAAAAAATTGTAAACGCCTTATAATATTTTTGATAACTATTTTGTTTTAAAAACTGTATTCTCAGTCTAGTGAATTAATAGTCATATATGAAAATTTTAAAAGTTATGCAGTAATGATAGGCGAACTAAAATTATTTCACAACAAAAACTTAAAGATTCAATACAATTATGTAAGGAATTTGATGCTTGTTTAATAAATTTAAATACAGAGATAGAAAGTAATTTTTTTTTAAATTACGGTGTTTACGATATTTTATTTTTATTTATTATGTTATAAAAATGATATAGTAGGTATAAGAATTTTAATTAAATACTTTTTTTGTACACCAAGTTGTTACATTTAAAAAAAATTGTGATTATTTTTTTCTTTTTGCCGATGGGCGTGTAGTGTGTGCATATATATATTGTAGGATAGAATAAGAGAGAGTTAGTAATAAACCTACAGTCAAGACCACTAAATGTGTTATTATTTATTCCCCAAATATCCCTACATTACAATGGTCATGACGGACAGTCTCTATAGACACGTCATCTACACAGGACAAAACTATAAAGCACGAGTTTATGCCATGCACAGGTGCATATTCCCTCATTCTCATCAGTCTGATAAGACGGTTATGCGACAGGACTAAAAAGAGATCAGGTGTAGGATCAACGGCATTTCGTGCCTTTAGAAGCTTGGATGTGAAGCACTGTTGACTTCCTGATTCCGAGTTGCTGCTGAGAATTTTTGAGAAAAAAACTCATAAGCGTACCCAAGCATATATGCATAAAGTAAATGATATTACATCCGTAAAGAAAGCGAGAGTATAAAGCATAGTCTCTGCTTACCCTTCTGGATGACAAGCGCGAGTGTTTATGCATGTATTTATGTAAAAACTCAATAACTAATTCTTTGGTCCGACCTGGGATTCGAACCTGGGACATCATAATCAGTAATTGTGTTAACATCCACTAGACCAACGAGGCTGACTTTTATGTATTAGATGACTTCAAAAATGTAAAGGTTATCAATTCAATTGCATATAGAATGAAACCAATTTTACGGACTTTATCGCGTAAAATTTGTGAAAACAAATTTAACGCGTTAAAATCCGTGAAAGTTATGTGTAAATGTGTAAATTTGAGTAAATATAAGAAACTGTGTAATAGTGTTGGTGTAAGAATATCCACTACCCCATATCATCCCGTGGGTGTCGTAAGAGTCGACAGACGGAAACAAATCAGGGTTTTTTTTATAGGATGAGTGAGAAACGAGCACACAATCCACCTGATGGTAAGTGGTTGCCGTGGCCATAGACATCTAAATCTATGCTCGATTAAGAAACAAAATGCAGATGCGTTGTCACCCGCGAGGTGATGGCATGGTCCTTCCCCGGTTAAGCCGAACCATTTGCGCTACAACTGTAGTACTAACATAGCTATTTTTTTATTTATAGGATAGGGTGATAAACAAGCACAAGTCCACCTGATGGTAAGTGGCTGTTGTAGTCCATAATCATTTACATCTATCCTCGATTACAAATCAAAATGCAGATGCATTGTCACCCATGAGGACTAAGATGGAATACCTCGTTTCCAGTAAAAAGGGTCTCCGGTTCTCTACACTCACCATGCAAAACACAGCAGCATTAAGCTTCTATTTTACGCTGGTATTCTGTGAGAGTGTGTCCTTCGCCGGTCGAGCCGACCCATTCATGCTATAATTATACTACTAATATAACTGCAGCATAGCTCTACCACATATAATGAATTTACTACAATATTTTATAGGCACGCCCTCACAGAATACCAGCATAAAATAGATGCTTAACGCTGCTGTGTTTCATATTGTGAGTGTAAAGAATCAGTGACAAACAAGCACACAGTCCACCTGATGGTAAGTGATTGCTGTGGCCTATAGACATCCACATCTACCCTCGATCACGAATCAAAATGCAGATGCGTTGTCAACAGTGAGGACTAGGATGGAATGCATCATTTCCAGTAAAAAAGGGTTTTTGGATTTCTACACTCACTATATGAAACAAAGCAGTATTTAGCCTGCTATTTTACGCTGGTATATCTGTGAGAGCATGGTCCTTCCCCAGTCGAGCCGACTGGAAACAAGACACTGCATGTTAGGTGTTAGGGGTAATCGTGAATAGATGTAGATGTCTGTGGGCTACAGCATCCACTTACCATCAGGTGGATGGTATTGTAAGAAGCCTCGTTTCCAGGAGGCATTCCATCTTATTGCTCATTTGTTGATCTTATCCTATTAAAAAAGGCACAATACAATATCCCAGGATTGGTCATGTAATTGTTACCTTGAGCTTGCTATATTCCTTTGTTCGTTCAAAAGCGTAAAATAGTACACTTATTAAATGCTGACAAGAACAAAACAAAAACTAAAAGAATACAATAATTTCCACATAACAGCTTCTAATATTCTGAAGTTTGTGCATTATGGCAAGAGCCTTGACTGGACACTGTTGTCTTAAAAAATCACATATCTATTCTGGGACTAAGCGACTCAAGAATGTGCCAGTTTTGTTCCTTAATGGAAGAAACGCCTATGCACATCCTTACTGATTGAGGACCCTTAATGCGCAAACGTAACACTCACGTGGGAATCTATGTACCGCTCATGGCTAATCAACACCTTCTATTCATTGAAGACATAGGGCTTAGCAGTGAACTATAGCCATAGCAGCGATCACAATAGATCTTATAGGTCGCAGTGATACTGGTCTCTTTACCTAGACCTGCATAGCTGCTCGCACATTTAAAAAATATTCTGAAATTGTGGTTTCAACTCATCTACACACTTAGTGTTTTTTTTTAATAGGATAGGGTGACAAACGAGCACACAGTCCACCTGATGGTAAGTGGTTGCTGCGGCCCATAGACATCTACATCTATCCTCGATTACAAATCTAAATGCAGATGCGTTGTCACCCGTGAGGACTAAGCTGGAATGCCTCGTTTCCAGTAAAAAGGGTCTCCGGTTCTCTACACTCACCATACGAAATACAGCAGCATTAAGCTACTATTTCACGCTGGTATTTTGTGAGTGTGGTCCTTCCCCGGTCGAGCCGACCCATTTGTGCTCAACTATATACTTTAACTGCAGCATGGCTCTACCACGTAACAAAAAGAGTGTCTTAGCACTGACAACTTGTTGATGCATTTGTCGGTGGAAATAAAACCAAGGTTGCTACTAGGTAAACTATTAAATTAGTTATGTCCGTACAAGTGGCTCTGAGTTATTTTATGTTAAAACTAACGATATCGTCCGCGTGGAATTTATTACGTGGATTTTAAGTTTTTTGTGCGGAAAACTAATTCATTTTCTAAAATAAAAATAGCATAAGTTACTTGAATAACGTAAAATAAATAATACGTGAATCGAGCCGATCGGAGAGCACTCGGTCGTCGACGATTCGAGCCGCTCTGCACTAGTTGTGGTTAAGTGGAAGGAGCTGGCACTAGGGAGCTCCAACCCAGAGATGGGAACAGTATTCCACGTGCGGCCGAACCTGCGCCCTGTAAAGTTGCAGGCGGTGTGCCGGCACGAAATACTGTCCCGCTCTGCTGAGCACGCCAAGCTGTTTAGAGGCCAATTTGGCCTTCTCTTCCAAGTGGCCACGAAACTGCACGTCAATCGATATGTCAAGGCCGAGGATTCCGATACTGGCTGAGGCAACAAGGGGAGTGCCTTGAAACTGAGGAGATACGACAAAGGGGTTCTTTTTAGCGGTCAACGCGCAAACTTGTGTCTTCTGAGGGTTAAACTGGACTAGATTTAGTCGCCCCCAATCCGAGACTCTGTTCAGCAAAGACTCGACTTCAGACACAAGTTTGTCCCGGTACTTGGAGACGTTTTCCCGAGAAATATTGGCACGGCCGGTGTACAAAGCATCACTAGTGCTGTATGTACATACCATGTAGATTATCTGTGCTAGGTCTCTTTGAAAGGTAAGATGGATACAGTACTCTCTATCCCAATAAAGAATCGTTGTTATATACCTTAATTTTAACTTCAGACTCCTTTTTTGTTTTGCCCTTTTGTACTTTAGATTTTTGCTTAGATAGAGGCTCCTTAGAGTTCTCACTGACATATACAGGCTCCGTTACACCAAGGATACAGTCTCCAGCTTCTGCCTGAAAATAAAAAAACATAATAAAAAATCTGAAAAATGGTTGACCCTGCAGGCCATCCTCATGCTTATTTTGGTTTTTGTTTTTTGAAAATATTTGAAACATCTTGACCGATTGACTTGAAAATCTAATCAGATCAAAGTCTCAATGAACACTTTCGAACGTTGTGCCATGTCACCCATCTCGATCGGTAATGATTCGTTCTAAAGATATCATTGTATTACAAAACTTTATTCACATACATACACAACACACACACATACACGGCCGGACGTCCAACCGGGAATAGTCGGAAAGGCTTCTTAATACCTCAAAATGTGATGATCTGATGAAAACTCGCATTCTCAAAATTGGACCGAAATCTACAGCGTGGTTGAAAAGAAACTCCCTATAGTTATTTATTTGTTTGTAGACCACCAGCTTCAGCTAAATTCATATAATTTTATGTAATTTTATTTTCTTTAGTTTGAGAATTAAGTAAAACATCATGAAATGGCTCAAGGAAGATTGTCAATGCAAGAACGAGCGAATTGTGACAATCAACAGTGAAAGTGCAAAGGTGGTGGCGGAATATCAACAGTCCACATGCTGTTTTGGATCCAAAAACCATTAAAAACTATACCATACAGTTGATGATAACTGGATCAGTGGCAGATAGTAAAAGAACCGGCCGTACTTCAACATCAAGATCAAATGAAAATATTCAAATTGTTCGAGTGATGTTCATAAGAAGCCTGACAAGTAGACTTGTCAAGTGACTCGTACTCTCAGCTTTTGTCCTTGCAAGCCACATTACTGCCAAGAAATAACTCCAGAGGACTGTGATCGCTGGATGGAATACGGAGAGATTATGCTTGGATGACATGGAGATTTGTCAGAACTGTTTAATAACATTGTCTGGACTGACAAAGCGATTTTTTCATGTTGTTTTTTTAACCATCATAACTGTTATTACTGGGCAGTTTGACCCCAAAGTAACTGCTCAAAAAATGCAAAACTGTTTAAAGGTCACAGTTTGGTGTGGTACGATATCAAGTCAAGTTATTGCCCCTTTTCTTTTGAGGGAAACAATTTATGGATAGCGTTACTTCAACACGCTGCACAATAGATTTTGGCCAGCTTTGTCAACATTTGATAACATTGAAAATACGGTATTTATGCAAGATGGAGCTCCACCATACTTCGCATCGAATGTTCTATAGTGACTGGATAACTGCTTCCCAGGGCGTTGGTTAGGTCGTCGTGGACCACACGAATAGTCTGTTCATTGCCTGGACGTCACAACTTGAAATTTTGTTTATTGCTCAAAACCTCACAGCACTCTTGATGAACAGGAAGTAAGAATTCAGCAAGTGCTAACAATTGCAGACCTCAACACTTTCTACAAAAGTCCATAGCAGATATTCCAAGATGTTTTCAAAAACTGGTAGAAAATGCACGCACTTATATTGAATTCGGACTATTTCAGATTTTTTTTATAACTCACATTGTAAAGTTTTATTTGGTTACTGGTTTGACAAATTAATGTAAAAAATAAAAATCATATAACCAAATAAAGGGAGAGACTTCCTTTTCAACCATCCCTGTATAACTTTCTACTTTTGAAAATCATTAATTTTCAAAGTGGGAAGTTAAAAGTCAATTAAAAAAACACAATTATATATTATTCCTAATATGTTGTGTTCCTGTATTTTTTTGCTTAAGAATCTGCTGTGTAGTTGTGGTGAGATTCTTCAACCCCATGTAATCTTGTTGGTAGGGGGTGGCTAACTAACGAGGAGATGGGCAGCACAGCATCATCCATAGATAAGATTTAAAGTTGTCAATAATATTAAACTTTTGAAACTTTTTATTTATTTACTAGGACTACCAACAAGAGTACACAAACACAATGTAAATACTAGAAATAACAGGAAAGTTTATATCTAAGTGACATCTTAATTAAAGGTTGCCATGCATGTTGCATGCAATGTGGACTACAAATGTTTCTTTGAATTAATGTAAAAATTTGAGTTATTATTAATATATATTTTTAAAACTAGAGCCAAATGTCAGCTTACAGCAAAAGACTGCAAAATTGTTAAGCCTTAATTTCTGTGGCCTATCAGCAAAACTTGTTATATTGCTTCTTTCTGTAACCTGTTTATTTTGACGTGGTGACCCAAATTAGTTTTACTGCCCTTAACTGAAAAGGGCATTTATCGACTGACATAACCTAGCTTGAACGGCACATTGAAATTTATTAAACTTAGTAGATATGGACAGTCTATAGTACACTTTAAATAAATAAAAAGAATAAAATGTTTTCCTCGTAATAGCAGTTCATACATAGAATATTTATAGTTAATATATAGAATATGAATAGTTATTCCTTCAATTAATTTGATTTTACTAATTATTTAAAATATAACCATTAACATAAAAATACCATCTAAATTGCTTGCAAATATGTACAATGTAATTGCTATAGACTTCCCTTCAATAACGATATGTAATTGTTACACCTACTTTTCTTATTACCCACAACAAGTAAGAACATTGTGTGTATCCACTACTTAACAGATCATTTACAAGAACCTGCTGTTCCTCATAAGTTCATGTATTTTATTATCTAATGATTAACTTATTATTTCTCACGATAAGTGAATTGTATTCTTTTTAAGAAATAAATATCTTAAAACGTAATATTTAAAGCCCTTAATTCAGAAGCTAATAAGTAGATATAATTTTATTCTTCCCCTACTCTAACCATTAATTAATATATAGATATATTAATAAGTTGCATGAGGTCAAAACAATTTCAAATTGAAAAAAAGGGGTTAGAATGTTTGGAGTGCACTCGCACTCTTTCTAGCTTCCTAACTCTCCTCAGGGTCAGCAAATTAGCCATGGCTAAAACATCCAGCTTACGCATATATCGCTACTCTCTTGGGTGCTGACCCTATGCTGGTTGCATAAGTAATATTTTTTTGGCAGAGGTAAGTTATGATTTTTGTGTTTTTACTTAGTTTGTATTTGTATATTGTTATTTGGTTTTATTAGTATTCGTGTATTGTTATGGCGCATATTTATTTTTGCCTATGTTTGTCTTTACTATTATAAAATTTTCTTTTTTTCAATTTGCAGTTTTGAGATGACTCACGAAATATAGATACAGCATTGGCTGATGGATGTGTCCGAAGATAAGCAGATATTTATGGTTCTGGTAATGCTATCAGTAATGCTAAATATTGTTGTTAGTAACATATAAAGCATTTTTTTAAAGAAATTAGCTGTAGCACTTCTACAAGATCACCAGAAATGTCAAAGTGAACAGCATACATTCCCTACTTCAACAAAAATTTGGCAAATGCCAAAAAGTGTGGTAAATTTATTTGTCAACAACACTTCAGGGTATATAAGTGCGTCGGATGCAGAATAGAGGAATCAACTGATGAAATGGATTAATTTCTTAATGTTGATCTCGGCTAAATATAAACTTTGTAGTTTAAAGAGAGATTAGAAGTCTTGATATTTATTTAATTGTTTAAAACCAGTTATGTTTTAATTATAATAAAGGATTTTAATATTTTTGAAAAAAAAAAAATACTTTGTTTTATTTATTTCTAATGCTTTAACTTCCAACTATTTATTTTACAAGTTTCATAAAACTTACCGCTCCTCTATGAGACGTCTGAGGTGGAAGACCAAGTCGCTGTCTTGTTCTCTTGTTGGTCTGTCTGCACATTTCAAAGAACTCGTAGAAGTCATTAACTTTATCAACGCACAACTCGCAAATGAGCGGTGGCATTTTGTCATCCAGATTTACCTGAAAGAATAGACAGATATGCTTCGCATTACCATACAGCCCATTAAAGTCCACTGCTGAACATAGGCCTCCCTCATAGATTGCCTCATAGGTGGAATTTTGCCATAGTTATAATGTTACTGTTGATTTAATAATTTCACCTCTCAGTGGGTCATGTGCTCCTGGTAGATTATCTTCTACATAGTTGTAATGTTACTGTTGATTTAATAATTTCACCTCTCAGTGGGTCATGTGCTCCTGGTAGATTATCTTCTACATAGGTGTAATGTTACTGTTGATTTAATAATTTCACCTTTCAGTGAGTCATGTGCTCCTGGTAGATTATCTTCTACATAGTTGTAATGTTACTGTTGATTTAATAATTTCACCTCTCAGTGGGTCATGTGCTCCTGGTAGATTATCTTCTACATAGTTGTAATGTTACTGTTGATTTAATAATTTCATCTCTCAGTGGGTCATGTGCTCCTGGTAGATTATCTTCTACATAGTTGTAATGTTACTGTTTGTTGATTTAATAATTTCACCTCTCAGTGGGTCATGTGCTCCTGGTAGATTATCTTCTACATAGCTGTAATTACTGTTGATTTAATAATTTCACCGTTCAGTGGGTCATGTGCTCCTGGTAAATTATCTTCTGTACATCCATACATTATTGCCTAGCCTACTGCTGAACATAGGCCTCCCTCATAGATTGCCTCATGACAATTGATGAGGGATGACTTCATTTTGCCATAGTTGCCATACTTAGCAAGCAACCGCAGTTTTATTTTGAGTTGTTAATACGAAAATGCTGTTGCCCTTCTCCTGTTTCATTTTTCTTGGTTGATATGGGGTAGTGGATATTCTTACATCGCCACTACAAAGTTTAGATAGCTATGATAAAATATTTTATGATCTAAACAGATAAATTTATTGCCAAATACACATCCCACTGGGCAAAGGCCTCCTCTGCTTTCCGGGGGATGCCCAAATTCGTGTTGACTGACTTTTCATGTCTTCAAATGTTTTTTTTTATTTCTCATACATACAGATTTCTTCACAATGTTTTCCCTCATCAAAGGGCATACAGTGTCCCCCAGTAATCCGATAAACATTTTGCAGGGCAGTGTCGAACTATCGAATTTGTCGGATTATAGAGTACTGCCTAAGACCCCCTATAGTCCGGAACTTCTTACAAAAGAATACCTTGTAATCCAACAAATTACAGATCCAATGATAAGATTCTATAATGTTATATATATGTACTCTAAAGTACAAATCACACTTCATTATATAAAATACAAATTAAGCAATCAGAATCCAAACAATACTCTACACATAGAGAACAATAGTTTACAACTTGTTCAATCATGCATGAGCAGATTATCAAAAATTAGACCATGTTGGATAACAGGGGGTGCTGGATTATGCAGGGGCCAGATTTTTGGGGTTCCACTGTATAGTGAAGCAGCAATTGCAATTAACAATAACACTGGAGCAAGCTAATGATTTCTTACATTAACGCAAACACTAAACATTGAATTAAACTACTTTTACAGATTTTATCGCATTTATTTGCTTAATTTTAATACCCGACGTTTCAGATGCTTTCTGTCACATCAGTTGGTGCAAGCTATTAAACTAGGGGGCTTATTCTCATGCTATTAGGACATTAACCATTTTAAAAAATTATATCGTTCTGTCTGTCTGACTATCCAGGCTTACCTTAGATGATGAAACTTTAGGAACAATACGAAAATATTAGAGAGCAATGCCAAATACAAGGGATCGAGGCTATATCTTATATGAAAAACTTCATTTTTAAAAACAAATAATTGACAAAATAAATATTCTTTGAATAATCTCAAGTCGAAATGATGCTACAATAATAGATCTCATCTAGGCAAAGGGAGGGTTTTTTTATAGGAATAAAAAGAAAGTACGATGTGTATATTATTTGGTGTTGTCATCCATGAGGACTAAGATTGAATGCCTCATTTTCAGTAAAAAGGGTCTCCAGTTCTTTACGTGGTATGCTTGGCACTGCACTGCAAGACTTCAAGATACTGTAAGTTTGTTTTGCGTAAGTTGGACCAAAAATTAATATTCAAAAACTGAAGGTAGCTGGGCTAACAATGACATTGGGACGTCAAACATCTCAGTCCCCCCGTGACCATGGTTGCTGTAAAGCACCCGAAACGTCGGTAATTAAAAATAAGTAAAATCAGTTAAATAAACGCGATAGAATCCGTAAATTTAGTTTTATTCAATGTGAAGTGCTCGCGTAAATTTAAGAAATCATTATATCAAATTAAAAGTAAATATTATATACAGATGTAACATGGGTGTGGCAGAATCAGGCCAAATGGAAGCTTATATGCTCTGCCCACCCTCTTTCCTGGCATCATTTTTGAGAATGAATGGACTAATAGGCATAAGCAAGAATGTATTGTCCAGAAAACCCTTTCGAAAATTCCTATCTGATTTCCTAGAAAGGAATTCTTATAGGAATTATAGGAAGTTTGTAATTTATTTCACTTCTTAAGTTTCAATAAATATTCGTTAATTTAACCTAATTTATGTGGTTTAAGGTCCTTTGAAGCAAATTCAACTTAAAGAAATAAATGGAACTGATAAAATACGGCATTTTTCGCCGCATTACATAAAATGAAAAACGTTAGGTGTAATTACATTTTTCTAAAGTTTTCGTTGAAACTTAGTTTGTAAAACAAAAACAATTTGTGTAGACTATATAAATATATATTCTTTAAACATGAATATTATTGTGGTAGGTTTCTATTAACACAAAAATAGTTTTTTTGGTCCTATTTATTAAAAATGTTCTAGTTTACCTCAATTTGCACACATTCCCGAATTTTCTGCTTCAATTCCACATCGCGTCCATCCAAATCTACAACATTTTGAATTATAGGCATTTTGTAGCCGGCACCGGCACCACAAAGGCGACATGCTCGATAAATTTCATATATCGTCTGTTGGTCAATATTAGAATTCATAAAACGATCCATTTCTTCTAAATCATTTCTTACGAAAACATAAACGCGTTCTTAGGTGACGAAAGCCTCTTGCCGCTTTTCCGCCATTAAAGTCATAGACAAAGAGCATGGATTTTATTATTTTAAGATTTTTGACTTGGGTGCCTGTCTTTTCGGGATTTTAAAAATATTTACATTAAATATTAAAAGCTTAATAGTAATAGTAATATTAAAAGGTGCCAAAGTCGCCTATACTTGACCAGCACCTGCGAGCCCTGAGCGGCAATGACGTCTATAGTTGACAAAAACCCCGGCCCACAAAAATATGAAATATAGATATTGGAAAATTATTACCGGTATTTTAATTCTACATTCCTCAAAAAAGAATAACCCAGCAACATGTGAGTATAAAAAACAAGTCTCCTAGAGCCACAAGTACTAAGAACACATTGAACTAAAAAAATGGATTTTTATCTAAGCAAATACTATGTCCAGTACCCCAGCACGCCAAAGTCGTCTATATTTGACCGCTAGTGTGTTATAATAGTAGTATTTTAATGCGTTAGGCATAGATTTATTGAAAACTTTTCAAAATTAAACACAAACGTATTATTTTTTAAATTATTATTGATATTTGAATAAAACAAAAGGTAAGGAACATAAAACTATCATCATCTACATAAATAAAAGAAAATTTCATCAAATCAACTTCGCACAATAAATCTAATATCTTAACTCTGGCGCATCCTTAGCACGTCATCGATTATCAGTTTATTGGGCGCCATGGTCAATGATAGATGACACCCTGATGACGTCATAAACGAATAGCGGAAAAAGTAGTGCAGTGCAACACGAACGATTCCTCAGAACTCATTCGCATTTTGGAAAGCGTCGATGATGATGAATTTTTTTATTTTAATAATATAAAATTACAATATATCAGTATATAAATATAAAATATATGCTTGCAAAACACAGTTAGTTCATAAAAATAAAAAATAAAAATATAAATTTCTTCGCAACCTTCCGCCAAACAAATACAATGATGTGTCTTACCTGGATTAAAGAGCACCTCCCGCCCTCCCTTCAATTGCATTCACTAACTCCGTCACCACTAATCCCAGCACCACTACTCCCAACACCACTATTCCAGGCAAGACACACCATCGACGATAATACGACACGTGTTTCGCCTCTACACGAGGCATCTTCAGGTAATGTAGACTCTACGGCGGCTGACCGCTAAGACTTACTTACCGTGCTGGGATTAGTGGTGACGGAGTTAGTGCATGCAATTGAGGGTGGGCGAGAGGTGCTCTTCAATCCAGGTAAGACACATCATTGTTTTTGTTTGGCGGAAGGTTGCGAAGAAATTTATATTTTTATTTTTTATTATAATGGATTTCCGCAAAGTAACGCCTGATTCTATCAATTAACAGTTAGTTCATTCTGCGTAGATCGGACCAAAGACAATAATTAAAAAGCTGAAGGTACTCCGTGTTAACTTTGACATCGCGACGTCAGTCACCTCAGTTTCACGTGAACATGGGTGCTGGAAAGCACCCGAAACGTCGGGTATTAAAAATAAAATAAATAAAACGCGACGAAATCCGTAAAAGTAGTTTTAATCAATAAAACATACCAGATTATAGAGAGTCATTTATTGCATAAAATAACAACGAAATCAAGTTATTTTGTGTTATCGATATATCAACTCTTGGCGACACTATTTTTTCGTAGATATTTTTGTTTACTTTTCGCTTTGGCGTACAGGACAAGGTAATGCGTTTTTGGCGTGGCGCTCAAAAGGTTAAACCCCGTGTAGTGGCGGGTAAGAATACCCACTATCCCATATCTTCCAGTGGGTATCGTAAGAGATCACAGAAGGAAAAACTGAGGTAGAAGATGGGCAGCAGCATCTTCCTGATAACAAAAAAAGTAATAAGTTACCAAAATGCAGACGCGTTGTCACCTGCGAAGACTAAGAGGAAATGCCTCTTTTCGAGTAAAAAAGGGTCTCCACAAAAAAAAACAGAGAAATTACATAACATATTATTTTCTATTTCATTCTTCTTCTTTTTATTTATGCAAAACCTGCGGTTGCCAACCCGCTCACCAAGCATGTCAACTATGGCAATTTACCTCCCATGTGCAACAACACAAATAAATGGCCCCCAGTCCCCGGCGGTCCCGCCATCCTGACTACGTTGGTGATCATGCTAACATGTTATGGGGTGCTAAGACTCTCCGATGGAGGTTTGGCTGCCACCTAAGACGACTTGACCTGACAATATATAACGCACGCACCCTGAAAAATGACGAAAAGATCTTGGAACTGGAAGAGATAGACAATTTGCGCTGGGATATCATAGGATTATCTGAGGTCCGAAGAGAAGGGGAGGACACGGTAATCCTCGAATCCAGCCACTTATTCTATCACCGGAAGGGTGACCATCTGTGCCAAGGAGGTGTCAGATTTATCGTCTTCAAGTCTCTTGTTAACAATGTTGTAAAGATTGGGAGTGTGTCGACGAGGGTTGCGTACATTACACGCAGAATCACCAAAAGGTATTCGCTGAAAGCCATACAGATTAACGGACCAACCTTGACACATTCCGATGAGGAGGTGGAGGAAATGTATGAGGATATCTCTAGAGCCAAGCATTCCTCCAAAACCTACTATGCGGTGTAAATAGGAGACTTCAACGCAAAACTAGGCACAAGAGAGAACGGTGAGCTGAAAGTAAGGAAGTTCGCAATATGACAACGAAACCCAAGGAGCCAGTAGCTGGTCGACTTTATGGAGAAGGAGAGGATCTTTATGATGAACACTTTCTTTCAAAAGTGCTAAGTAAATCGCTAATAAGCGAGGTAAGGTATGATTACGTATTAAATACTACGTATTACGTATGGTATGAAACGGCTTACTGTTTAAAAACAATATATTTAATTATCTGGTAACAATCTGGCTTACGATAATGTTGAAATTCAATACTCGTAACATAAGTTATGAAAGTTATGCAATTCCATTTTGTGCAATTTTATATTCGCAAAAACATCAATTATATCGTCGTACGAAATCTTGTTCATTAGCTGACTCTATGCAAAAGCGCTAAGGCTTTTAGTTTTTCTTGGCTTATGATAGATCTTAGATAATTTTTCACTTGTTTTAAGCAAAAAAAAACTCCTTTCATCCGAACAATTTATCGCTGGTGTACATAAAGCTACGCCAACTGCTATGTTAAAGTTTGGTTAAAAGTTTTGCAAATTCTGTTTATACAGGAACGAAGGTAGACTTTTCAATGATCCAGAATCAGGTTTCACAAAAATTCTTTCAGAAGAAAGGTGGCACTGAAACTGAATGCATTCTTAAACTAAAGTTTCGAAATCATAAGAATACATTTCTTCCAAGGAAAAGGCTATATCTGTAAGAGTTGATGATACCAATTCAGTAATTCTGCTAAAAAACTAAATTTTCATTGAATCTGTAGAAGGCCTCCTGCCGTTTTTCTAAATCGGGTACGAGTCTATCAATGAGAAAGAGAAATATGTTAAACCTAAAAATATCACTCGTAGTTATTCTGTTTCTAAATCGGGTGTTTGATTTTTGTTTCCTTTTCGGTTGTTTTTTCCCCATGTCTTTTTTAAACTGATTCGACACGTTTATTTTCATCGCCTTTTCTTCGAAATCCTTAAAATTTTCTCGTTCAGTTACGAAAACTTGCAAAGAGATTCGTAAAACCGAATACTACGGTACAAACCTGAATTTGAACAATCACATTAACATTCTGTTCTACACGACAACCATTACCACCATTTTGAGTTTTTCTAAATTAAAAAGTATTCTTGTCGCTTCGTTTCACGTTACTGGTTTTTCGGTATTATTATATCATCCTTGATTAATTTCAAAGTTTTAAGGGTTTCGTATCAAGAATCTCTCAAACTTCCACATGCATCCAGTGGAGTAGCTACATAGGGGCTGAGCGGGGAAGTGCCCCGGGGCCCCCTAGTTCAGGGAGCCCTCGAATCCTTACCAGAAAATCTTTCGACTTTAATCATGGTAACTCAGTTGAGAGAAATTCGGAAGTTATACCTAGGGAATTCCTCTAATTTCTTTCTGTGGGTTTGTGGGTTAGCAGTGTCGTTAATTTGACTAAAACTAAAATTATGGACAAAAAAAATTACCCAAAATTGACAAGTTTTTTTAGTCAGCCTTCTGCAAGTACTTCTGAGCAAAATATTTCTATTGATAGTGACTTAAATAATGTGGTAACTGCAGTGTTGGTTGAGAAGCCTACTGAAGAAGATTCGACAATTATTGCAGTTGGAGATAATTCCGCCGCCGATCATGTGAACATGGTTGATGTTTGCTTGGCACACAAGAGCGGAGGATTTGGAGGAAACACATTTTTCGAAAATGTGTACGATAAATCTTCTTATGACTTGAGAAACTTCACAGATAAAATATTAAGTGATAACGAAAAACGTCAAATTCTTGATAAGGTGTAAGGACCTTCAGGACCTTTTCCAACAGAGATCAACCAGAACAATATGTGTTTTTCAAAATCGTATTAAGTTCTAAATATGGACCAGTTAATCGTTTTTGGTTGTGTTATTCCAAAATACTAGACGCTGCTTATTGTCAACCCTGCTGGTTATTTGCTTCATAAGATAAGATTATATAAGATAATCATTTATTGTCATAACTGTGTACATGAGGTCTTACAAATACAGAGTATAGTTACAACAGTTTGTCCATTTCGGACGTACAATATAATAAAAAATAAAATAAAGCACTACAATAAATGGACTATACGACACTGTGGCGCTAGTCACACAATAAACATTAGCTCCCGTATTTTTGATTAATTAGATAATTAAAAGTGATTGTTAAAAGTATCTAGCATAAGTAATGTGTAAAGTGTTGGCCAAATATTGTGTGCAAGTGTTATTTCTAAAAAACATTAGCGAATTGAGTGGAAAATTGATAAAAATATCCTATAACAGTGTATGTGAAAAACAATCCAACAAAC